TGCCAAATCATTTTTCGAACGCTGAAAAATAAAATCACCAGTCGAATAAATAATTTATACACACCATCTCTTAAACAACACGAGGATTCATAAAAGAAAAAAAAAAGAAATGGTTCTCAAAAAAAAAAGGTGAAATTCGGAAAAGTGAAAATTCTACGTTCAGATTTCTTTGCATATGATAATTCCCGTGACTGTGGAGCGGCCATATCTCTGCACTAATGTAAAAGTTTCCTGATATTCCGAAAATCTTGTGATCCGATTTTTTCATGTATATTCCTCGCTGTCTCTATACTCTTTGCCAGAATTGCTAAGTGGAATTTTGGTGAAATTATGACGGTAGCAAAAGTTTGGAGGGTGAAAGGGAGGGGGAGAGGGAGAAGTAGGGAGGGGGAGAGGGGGGGGAGGGAGGGGGTAGGCGGAGGGGGAGGGGGAGAGGAGGGAGAGGGAGAGGTAGAAAGAGAGAGAGAGAGAGAGAGAGAGAGAGAGAGAAGAGAGAGAGAGAGAGAGAGAGAGAGAGGTAGAGAGAGAGAGAGAGAGAGGAGGTAGAGGAGAGAGAGAGAGAGAGAGAGAGAGAGAGAGAGAGAGAGAGAGAGAGAGAGAGAGAGAGAGAGAGAGAAGAGAGAGAAGAGAGAGAGAGAGAGAGAGATGAGAGAGAGGTGGGAGGAGGAAGGAGAAGGAAGAGAAAGTAAGAGAAGAAAAAGAAGAAGAAGGAGGAGGAGGAGGAGAGAGGAGAAGGGAGGCAAAAATAAAATATCAAATGGAAGGTTGCACGTAGCGTGTTTCAGTCTCGCATAAAACAAACATGGTGGGATAAACTAACACACACCACACACACACACACACACCACACCACACACACACACACACACACACACACACACACACACAACACCACACACAACACACACACACACACACAACACACACACACCAGCACACAACAAACACACAAACACACACAATCCGCCTGTAACTTTCCGAGTAATCATAATGACAAATATTTTTCTGGTGAGAAAAATGATGTACCAGGTTAATACATACTAAAGAGGTACAACCATTACCTAAACCATAATAAACTATATGCAGACTTAACGATCTATATAATATATATATATTTACTGTGTTTGAATATAAAGAATGATAAATGTATGTAATAAAATCTAGATTTGGTGATTGTCCTGGGACTTATGTAAGGAAAAACAATTATTTTTATTTTAATGTAATTCTTTTCCTGGAAAATGTTTATTACTTTTATTTAAGTTTTTATCATGCTGGAAATAAGATTTTAGTGTTCATGAACTGATATAAGGACAAAGGCTGATGTTAATTATACCATTGTATACTTATATGATAGAAATAGCCAAGTAATGGTAGTTATGGTAGAATCTATCATAGAGACAAAATCAAATGTAATGCTGATTGTGATCATAGCAATGATAATGATGATAATTATGATGATAATGATGATAATTATGATGATAATGATGAATATATGATGATGATTATGATGATAATGATGACAATAATGAATGATGATATGATGATATGATGATATGATAATGATGGTAATTATGATGATAATGATAATGATGTTAATAATGATAATATTAATACTATAATGATTATGATAATAACATTAATAATGATAATAATTCTAGTATCACCGATTATAAAAAATAACAATAGAAATAACAGAAATAAACACTCTTTGACGGAAGCAAAACGTGATAAAACATTACAAAGAGAGAACAAACATCAAACAAAGACAGAGACACAGCATATAACAATGGATTCAGTTCAAGTTATGAGGGAAAGAACTCGTTACACAACATACCCAAACAAGCCAACGCAACATATGTAGGAAAAGGTTACAACACAGATTAGAAAGACAAAGAATACAGCACATCATAGAGAATACAGCATACAACGTAGCATGAAGAGGAAAAACAACATAGCTCATAATACCAACCAACATGGACATTACAGGAAAGGGACCAACAATATGTAGCAGATTAAGAAAGAAAAAACAACTTAGCTTATTTATGAAAATCAAAACGGAGAAAATACAACAGATAGAGGAAGCAGAAGATAAGATGTGAAAGACAAATTAAGATAACGGAGAAAGAAGGAACAAAACAACAAAACAAAAAAAAAAACAAAAAAACAAGAAGCCCAATCAAGTTATTTAAATCCAACATATATAAATACAACAACATACACGGAAAAAATAACATAATCCATACACACAGCACATACAGGGGAAGAAACCCCACATATACATAAAAATAACATACATACACGTAAAGAAAAAGAGAAAAAAAAACAGAAACCCGGTCATATAACCAAACACAACATAGAGAGAAAGTACACACCACATACAGGTAAATCAGTACAACATATTCATAGTAAAACAACACAAGGGAAAAATCAGCCACATACAAGACAGCATATCACATACTTAGGAAAAAAATCGCCTCATACAAACAACATAACGAACACAGGAACAACAACATATCACAACCTACACATCGAAAAAATAATAATAATAAAAATAATGAATAATAATGATAATAATAATAATAA